TCCGTCGGTTTCGCATGCGTTCCACCATGCGTTCCACTGCGGAAACCCGGAAGTGCTTTATGCCTTCCATGTATGAATCACGTATTTCTATTCCAAGTCCCTCTCATTAGAGGCAGATTTAATATACATGGATCGGAGGCAAGAAGAAAGGGGGGGGAGAGGGAAAAGGGAGGATTATACACTTCAAACAGTACTACAAGATTCCAAATATATATAACTAACACAGCCTCATTATACTTAATAACAATAAAACTGTATACGCTGTATAATATATGTGTACATAAATCAAATTAAAATAAAGATATATAATAGTAAATAAACAAACTGACATAACAAAAATAACAGAAATAAATACATAATATAAAAAAGACTAAAAAATAAATAATAATAATGAAAAATATGAAAATAAAAAATGTAATATAAAAAATAAAATAAAATAAAAAATAATAAAAATGAAAATGAAATAAAATGAAATAAAATAAAAATAAAAATGAAAGAAAAATAAATAAAAATGAGAATAAAAATGAAAATAAAAATAAAAATAAAAATAAAGCACACACACTTATAAGGTGGATAAAACGTGATATCCCAATTTATGTTGCATTTTTTTCAAATATTCCAAAAGATATAAAGTATCCATACATTATTATTTTTCTCCTCTTTTTTCCTTTGATGAGATATTGAAAACATCCCAAAAAGGAGATTTATTAATTTTAATGTTATCATTGGATAAGATTAAGAAATTAAATTGAATTATAAAATATAGGATAGAATTCCATAAATATAAAAAATAGAATTCGATCCATCCCCTATCCTCTTTTTTCTTTTAGTGGAATGTCAAAGACATCCCACAAAGAGCAGTTGGTTGATTTTAAAGTTATCCTTAGAATAAAATAAAATAGATTATATTAAAAAATTAAATAAAATTTGATGAATGGAAAAAAGTATACTTATGATTGAAATTTAATTGAATCCAAAAAACGTCAAATCTCAGAATGCAGATTAAAAATCTGTAAACATAAATCTGATGCAGTTGGAATCCAACAAATCCCAGTATATATAAATCTGATATAATAAGAATTCAATGAATTTCAGAATACATAAAAGGACAATTTGTCCGTCCCAAAACCCATTTAAATTTAATGATACAAAAATATTCTACTACTGGTACTCATGATGTGGAAAAATTATTTTACCACCTATACCATAAAAAATATATATAGAAAAAATGCAACATTTACACTAGTGGTGCAAAAAGGTACCTACATCGTATTAATTTTCAAAAAAGCTCCATAGGTCTATATCCAAATTCAACCCATCTGGTTGCAACGTTTTTAATTTGTTTATCCAAAAAGTCTCCCTTTGCGAGAGCTTTTTCATTAAATTGCCCCCTCTCCAATAAGGGTCAACCCGCTCTATACCCATGTAGGAAAAATTATTCCAATTAAATTTTCTGCAACTAGTGCAATGAATCGGTACTATATGTTTTGTTGACTTTTTCCTAATATTATTTTGATGTTCCAAAATTCTCTCTTTCAATTTTCGACCCGTTCTTCCCACATACTGTTTCCCGCATGGGCACTGTAGCAGGTAGACCACATACCTAGAGTTGCAATTTATATTAGATTTAAATTTAAATTTCTCTTTGGTAGTTGTACTTATAAATTCTTTTTTCTGTATATACCTCTGATTCTTGCAAGCCTTACATGAATTACAAGGATTAAAACCTTTAATATTAGAAAGTGTACCTTTGCGTCCGATTTTTAATGCGTAGCTTGGAGCTAATATATTTTTCAAATTTTTAGTTTTTTTGAAAATTATTGGTGCTTTTTTGGGAGTACCTTTCCTAATATGGGGTCTTTGCACAAAATATCCCAATGTCTGTTTAGAATCTTTTTTATATTCCAATGTTGTGTATTATATTGTGTAATAAACGAAAACTGATAATCTTTTTTTGGGATTGTTTTCTTCGGATTTGGTTTCCAAAGACTTTTCCTATCTTTCTTTTCAATTTCTTGAATTTCTTTCTCCAATGGTGCTAATTCATATTTTTTAGTTAAAAATTTATTTTTCAAGTGTTTGGCCTGTTCATGGTAATCTATGTCTCTTGAGCAATTTCGTCGTATTCTTGTTAGTTGGCTTCTTGGGATAGTTTCCAACCATTTATCATGGTGACAGCTTTTTCTATGTATGTAACTGTTACCATCAGTTTTTTTAAAATAACATTTAGACTGTACAGTCTGATTTTCAACAAAAAAGCAGACATCTAAAAAATTAATTGTAATGGGGTCTATCTCACAAGTGAATTTTAAGCCATAATCATTGTTACCAATGTAATCCAAAAATAACTGCAGTTCTTTATGTGATCCTTGCCAAATCATTATAACGTCATCAATAAAACGTTTCCATAGGACCAGGTTCGCTACCCAGCCATGCCCCCTCCATATGTGGTTGGATTCCCAATCCCGCATATATATGTTGGCATAGCTGGGGGCGAACCTGGTCCCCATTGTTGTACCAGTGATTTGGAGATAGAATGAGTCATCGAAGAAAAAATAATTGTGCTTCAAGATATAATGAATACTTTTAAGTATAAAATTTCGAAAATCTGGTGAAACACTTTCATCTCTCTCCATGACCCGCTCTACTGCAATCAGACCCTTGTGATGTTTAATGATTGTGTAGAGAGATGAAACATCTATAGTTACCCAAATGAAATCGTCTTTCCATTTTATATCTTCTACTATTCTTAAAATATGTGAGGTATCTTTCAAATAAGAGGGTGCCTCTTGGGCATATTTTTGAAGATTGTAATCTACAAATTCTGACAAATGTGCAGATACCGAATCAATGCCACTAATAATTGGCCTTCCCGGAGGTGTAATAGGATTTTTGTGTAACTTGGGCAAAAAATAAAATATAGGAATTATGGGAAAATTGTTAAATAAAAATTCCATATTATTTTTAGAAATGATGCCTTCCTCAAATGCCTGATTTAACAGGATTTTGAGAATAGAGTTAAATCTTTTTGTTGGATCTTCTGTGAGTTTTGTGTAAGTATTTGTTTCTCCTAAGATGTTATATGCTTCCTCCATATAATAGTCTTTGGTCATAATGACTATGGCTCCACCTTTATCGGCCTCTTTTATAATTATAGATTCCATTTTTTGTAGTTTGGCTACACTTGCCGATTCCTCTTTACTCATATTGTATTTATTTTTCTGACAATTGCTTTCTTTTTCCAATTTCTCCAAATCATGGCATACCATGTTGTTAAAGGTCTCTAGAAAGGGACCTCTATCTCCAACTGGATAGAAATTGGATCTTCTTTTAAAAGAATTTTGTTTATTGAAAGCCTCACTAGATGTTATAGAAACTTCTGTATCTCTTTTTAGAAAAAATCTTTTCAATGTCATTTTACGGATATATTTTTGAAGATCTATATATGTATTAAAATGATTCATCTTCTGATTTGGGGCAAATTTTAATCCCTTATTGAGCGTTTTTAAATCACTAGTTGATAATTCTATATCAGTTAGATTATAGACTCCATATTGTTTTTCTAATTCCTTTTTCTCAGGAAGTCCTCCCTTCGGGGATCTTCCTCTGACCTCTTTCTTTTTGGTGGGGTTAGCTGACTTTCTCGTGGGGT